GTTCTACAGAGTGAGTGAGTGGAGTTTGTATGATCTCCCCCTGTTATACAGAGTGTTTGGAGTTTGTGTGATCGCCCCCTGTTCTACAGAGTGAGTGAGTGGAGTTTGTGTGATCTCCCCCTGTTCTACAGAGTGAGTGAGTGGAGTTTGTATGATCTCCCCCTGTTCTACAGAGTGAGTGGAGTTTGTATGATCTCCCCCTGTTCTACAGAGTGAGTGAGTGGGTTTAGTATGATCTCTCCCTGTTCTACAGAGTCAGTGGAGTTTGTATGATCTCCCCCTGTTCTACAGAGTGAGTGAGTGCAGTGTCTATGATCTCTCCCTGTTCTACAGAGTGAGTGGAGTTTGTATTATCTCCCCCTGTTCTACAGAGTGAGTGAGTGGAGTTTGTATGATCTCCCTCTGTTCTACAGAGTAAGTGAGTGGAGTTTGTATGATGTCACCGTGTTCTACAGAGTGAGTGGAGTTTGTACGATCTTGCCCCTGTTCTACAGAGTGAGTGGAGTTTGTATGATCTCCCCCTGTTCTACAGAGCGAGTGAGTGGAGTTTGTGTGATCTCCCCCTGTTCTACAGAGTGAGTGAGTGAGTGGAGTTTGTATGATCTCCCCCTGTTCTAGAGAGCGAGTGAGTGGAGTTTGTGTGATCTCCCCCTGTTCTACAGAGTGAGTGAGTGGAGTTTGTATGATCTCCCCCTGTTCTACACAGTGAGTGGAGTTTGTATGAACTCCCCCTGTTCTACAGAGTGAGTGAGTGGAGTTTGTATGATCTCCCCCTGTTCTACAGAGTGAGTGAGTAGAGTTTGTATGATCTCCCCCTGTTCTACATAGTGAGTGAGTGGAGTTTGTATGATCTCCCCCTGTTCTACAGAGTGAGTGAGTGGAGTTTGTATGATCTCCCCCTGTTCTACAGAGTGAGTGGAGTTTGTATGATCTCCTCCTGTTCTACAGAGCGAGTGAGTGGAGTTTGTGTGATCTCCCCCTGTTCTACAGAGTGAGTGAGTTGAGTTTGTATGATCTCACCCTGTTCTACAGAGTGAGTGGAGTTTGTATGATTTCCCCTGTTCTACAGAGTGAGTGAGTGGAGTTAGAATGATCTCTCCCTGTTCTACAGAGTGAGTGGAGTTTGTATGATCTCCCCCTGTTCTACAGAGTGAGTGAGTGGAGTTTGTATGATCTATCCCTGTTCTACAGAGTGAGTGGAGTTTGTATGATCTGCCCGTTTTCTACAGAGTGAGTGAGTGGTGTTTGTATGATCTCTCCCTGTTCTACAGAGTGAGTGGAGTTTGTATTATCTCCCCCTGTTCTACAGAGTGAGTGAGTGGAGTTTGTATGATCTCCCCCTGTTCTACAGAGTGAGTGAGTAGAGTTGTATGATCTCCCCCTGTTCTACAGAGTGAGTGAGTGGAGTTTGTATGATCTCCCCCTGTTCTACAGAGTGAGTGGAGTTTGTATGATCTCCCCCTGTTCTACAGAGTGAGTGAGTGGAGTTTGTATGATCTCTCCCTGTTCTACAGAGTGAGTGGAGTTTGTATGATCTTGCCCCTGTTCTACAGAGTGAGTGGAGTTTGTATGATCTCCCCCTGTTCTACAGAGCGAGTGAGTGGATTTTGTGTGATCTCCCCCTGTTCTACAGAGTGAGTGAGTGGAGTTTGTATGATCGCCCCCTGTTCTACAGAGCGAGTGAGTGGAGTTTGTATGATCTCCCCCTGTTCTACAGAGTGAGTGGAGTTTGTATGATTTCCCCCTGTTCTACAGAGTGAGTGGAGTTTGTATGATCTCCCCCTGTTCTACAGAGTGAGTGGAGTTTGTATGATCTCCCCCTGTTCTACAGAGTGAGTGAGTGGAGTTTGTGTGATCTCCCCCTGTTCTACACAGGAAGTGAGTGGAGTTTGTATGATCTCCCACTGTTCTACACAGGAAGTGAGTGGAGTTTGTATGATCTCCCACTATTCTAGAGAGTGGGTGGAGTTTGTATGATCTCCCCCTGTTCTACACAGTGAGTGAGTGGAGTTTGTATGATCTCCCCCTGTTCTACAGATTGAGTGGAGTTTGTGTGATCTCCCCCTGTTCTATAGAGTAAGTGAGTGGAGTTTGTGTGATCTCTCCATGTTCTACAGAGTGAGTGGAGTTTGTGTGATCTCCCCCTGTTCTACAGAGTGAGTGAGTGGAGTTTGTGTGATCTCCCCCTGTTCTACACAGTGAGTGAGTGGAGTTTGTGTGATCTCCCCCTGTTCTACAGAGTAAGTGAGTGGAGTTTGTATGATCTCCCACTGTTCTACACAGTGAGTGAGTAGAGTTTGTATGATCTCCCCCTGTTCTACAGAGTGAGTGAGTGGAGTTTGTATGATCTCCCCCTGTTCTACAGAGTGAGTGGAGTTTGGATGATCTCCCTCTGTTCTACAGAGTAAGTGAGTGGAGTTTGTATGAGGTCACCCTGTTCTACAGAGTGAGTGGAGTTTGTATGATCTTGCCCCTGTTCTACAGAGTGAGTGGAGATTGTATGATCTCCCCCTGTTCTATAGAGTGAGTGAGTGGAGTTTGTATGATCTCCCCCTGTTCTACAGAGTGAGTGAGTGGAGTTTATATGATCTCCCCCTGTTCTACAGAGTGAATGAGTGGAGTTTGTATGATTTCCCCCTGTTCTACAGAGTGAGTGGAGTTTGTATGATCTCCCCCTGTTCTACAGAGTGAGTGGAGTTTGTATGATCTCCCCCTGTTCTACAGAGTGAGTGAGTGGAGTTTGTGTGATCTCCACCTGTTCTACACAGTGAATGGAGTTTGTGTGAATTTGTCCACTCTTCTTACCACAACCATCAACACTTTCACCAGTCTTACGCTTCGGAGACACAACGATAGTGGCGACCCAGGCAGAAATGCTGGGAATTATGGGTAATCACACTCGAACAACGAGGTTGAACTTGCGACCTCTCGTTTACGTGACAACCCTTGCTAGTTGGCTGTGTCGGGTGGTGGCGGGTTTAACGACACAACATTTATATATTAACGCGATCTAACCACCCCAAAAAAACCCCCTCTATCATTGATGATATTGGTCGCGAAAGCCTTCGTGTTAAAATGATTTGTTCGTATCTGCTGAATGTTCAAACGTTCGTAAGTAGTGGAGTCCCTGTACGTAAAAGTATCGTTATAAATTGTTACGTTTTCATGATTGTAAAGCGAAAGTGGAATGTACGTATAACCTTGAATTATGATGACGTGTCCTTAATTTTTTTGAACAGGCAACTGGTAATAGGGGAAAGGGGGTGTTCATATCTCTAAACGTCCGTAAGTGGAAAGCGTCCCTGGTAACGTCATTCTGACTTTGGATTCTTCCACCACCCACCCATCTCACCCACCCATCCCAATTCCTCCACCCACCCCTCCACCCACCCATCCACCCACCCCTCCACCCACCCATCCACCCACCCCTCCACCCACCCATCTCACCCACCCATCTCACCCACCCATCCCAATCCCTCCACCCACCCCTCCACCCACCCACCCATCCAAATCCATCCACCCACCCCTCCACCCACCCATCCACCCACCCCTCCACCCACCCATCCACCCACCCCTCCACCCACCCCTCCACCCACCCATTCACCCACCCATCCCAATCCCTCCACCCACCCCTCCACCCACCCATCCCAATCCCTCCACCCACCCCTCCACCCACCCATCCACCCACCCCAATCCCTCCACCCACCCCTCCACCCACCCCTCCACCCACCCATCTACCCACCCATCTACCCACCCATCCACCCACCCATCCCAATCCCTCCACCCACCCCTCCACCCACCCCTCCACCCACCCCTTCACCCACCCATCCACCCACCCATCCCAATCCCTCCACCCACCCCTCCACCCACCCCTCCACCCACCCATCCACCCACCCATCCCAATCCCTCCACCCACCCCTCCACCCACCCATCCACCCACCCATCCCAATCCCTCCACCCACCCACCCACCCACCCCTCCACCCACCCATCCCAATCCCTCCACCCACCCACCCCTCCACCCACCCATCTCACCCACCCCTCCACCCACCCATCCCAATCCCTCCACCCATCCCTCCCACCCACCCCTCCACCCACCCCTCCCACCCACCCCTCCACCCACCCCTTCACCCACCCCTCCACCCATTCCTCCACCCACCCATCCACCCACCCATCCCAATCCCTCCACCCACCCCTCCACCCACCCATCTCACCCACCCATCTCACGCACCCATCCCAATCCCTCCACCCACCCCTCCACCCACCCCTCCACCCACCCCTTCACCCACCCATCCACCCACCCATCCCAATCCCTCCACCCACCCCTCCACCCACCCCTCCACCCACCCCTTCACCCACCCCTCCACCCACCCATCCCAATCCCTCCACCCACCCCTCCACCCACCCCTTCACCCACCCATCCACCCACCCATCCCAATCCCTCCACCCACCCCTCCACCCACCCCTCCACCCACCCCTTCACCCACCCCTCCACCCACCCATCCCAATCCCTCCACCCACCCCTCCCACCCACCCCTTCACCCACCCATCCACCCACCCACCCACCCCTCCACCCACCCATCCCAATCCCTCCACCCACCCCTCCACCCACCCCTCCACCCACCCCTTCACCCACCCCTCCACCCACCCATCCCAATCCCTCCACCCACCCCTCCCACCCACCCCTTCACCCACCCCTCCACCCACCCCTTCACCCACCCCTCCACCCACCCATCCCAATCCCTCCACCCACCCCTCCACCCACCCCTCCACCCACCCCTTCACCCACCCATCCCACCCACCCATCCACCCACCCATCCCAATCCCTCCACCCACCCCTCCATCCACTCCTTCACCCACCCATCCCAATCCCTCCACCCACCCCTCCACCCATCCCTCCACCCACCCCTCCACCCCTCCCACCCACCCCTCCACCCACCCCTCCCACCCACCCCTCCACCCCCCCCTCCACCACCCCTCCCACCCCCACCCCCCACCCCAGGCACATACTCTCGCATCTCCGTCACATTCTCGCTGCGCAGGGAGATTGGGTTCTACGTCATCCAGATCTACGCTCCCAGCTCGCTCATCGTGGTGGTCTCGTGGCTCTCCTCCTGGATGAAGACTCAGGCGATGGTGGCGCGCGTGGCGCTGGGCATCACCACGGTGCTCACCATGACCACGCAGATCAGCGGCTCGCGTTTCTCCCTGCCCAAGGTGATTGGTGGGGGGAGATGGTGGGTGGTGTGGGTGGGTGGGTGGGTGGGTGGGTGAGTGGGTGGGGATGATGCGTGAAGAACCCCCTAGCTGCCGGGCAGTTTCAGGCGGTCGCCCTCTGGCAACAACGGAGGGACAGGGGAGCGACGCTCACAACAATGAGCCAACGTAGCGAGTTGGCACAGTAGGGGGCACAGGGGGTGGTGGTGGTGGTGGTGGTGTTGGTGATGGTGGTGGTGGTTGTGGTGGTGGTGGTGGTGGTTGTGGTGGTGGTGGTGGTGGTGAATCTACCGGTCATCTTAGTCGACCCATGGCACCTGCAGGGTCTGTCCTGAAACCTCCTCCTGCACCTAGCCTGCCACAGTAGTGGGGTACAGGTGGTGGTGCATCTACCACTCATCTCAGTCAGCCAACCCATGGCACCTGCAGGGTCTGTCCCGTGACCTCCTCCTGCACCAAGCCTGGCACAGTAGGGGGGTACAGGTGGTGGTGGTGGTGGTGGTGCATCTACCGGTCATCTCAGTCAGCCAACCCATGGCACCTGCTGGGTCTGTTCCGTGACCTCCTCCTTCACCTAGCCTGGCACAGTAGGGGATACAGGTGGTGGTGGTGGTGAATCTACCGGTCAGTCGACCCATGGCACCCGCTGGGTCTGTTCCGTGACCTCCTCCTGCACCTAGCCTGGCACAGTAGGGGGGGTACAGGTGGTGCATCTACCACTCATCTCAGTCAGCCAACCCATGGCACCTGCAGGGTCTGTTCCGTGACCTCCTCCTGCACCTAGCCTGGCACAGTAGGGAGGGGTACAGGTGGTGCATCTACCGGTCATCTCAGTCAGCCAACCCATGGCAACCTGCTGGGTCTGTCCTGAAACCTCCTCCTGCACCAAGCCTACGAACCCGGCGACCTTCGTTCAATTCCCACTCGCGGGCAACATCGGTGACGATGATGCGAACCGGTCCCGTCGCCCCGTGCCCCCAGCTCTCCTACATCACGGCCATGGACATCTGGATGACCACGTGCCTGGTGTTCGTCTTCTCCGCCCTGCTCGAGTCCGTGCTGGTCGCCGTGCTCGAACAGAGGGACGGAAAAGCAGTAGTAGCAGCAGCAGCAGCAAAGCAGCAGGTGTCTGCACGTCAGGTGAAGCAATCGTTTCATCAGCAGCAGCATCAGCAGAATCAGCAGAATCATCAGCATCATCATCATCATCGTCGTCGGCAGCATCATGAGCAGAATCATCATCATCAGCAGCAGCAGCAGCAGGTGTCTGCACGTCAGGTGAAGCAATCGTTTCATCAGCAGCAGCATCAGCAGAATCAGCAGAATCATCATCATCATAATCATCGTCGGCAGAATCATGAGCAGAATCATCAGCAGCAGCAGCAGCAGCAGGTGTCTGCATGTCAGGTGAAGCAATCGTTTCATCATCAGCAGCAGCATTATCAGCAGAATCAGCATCAGCAGAATCATCAGCATCATCATCATCATCATCGGCAGCATCATGTGCAGAATCATCATCGGCAAAATCATCATCATCAGCAGCAGCATCATCAGCAGCATCATGTGCAGCATCATCATCGGCAAAATCATCATCAGCAGCAGCAGCATCATCAGCAGCATCATCATCAGCAGCAGCAGCATCATCATCATCAGCAGCAGCAGCATCATCATCAGCAGCAGCATCAGCAGCATCATCATCATCGGCAGCATCATGAGCAGAATCATCATCAGCAAAATCATCATCAGCAGCAGCATCATCATCAGCAGCATCAGCATCATCAGCAGCAGCAGCAGCAAAATCATCAGCAGCATCGGCAGAATCAGCAGCATCATCGGCAGAATCATCATCATCATCAGCAGCATCAGCAGCATCATCGTCAGCAGCATCATCATCATCAGCAGCAGCAGCATCATCAGCAGAATCAGCATCAGCAGAATCATCAGCATCATCATCGGCAGCATCATGAGCAGAATCATCATAGGCAGAATCATCATCAGCAGCAGCAGCAACAGCAGCAGCATCATCATCATCAGCAGCAGCAGCATCATCAGCATCATCATCGGCAGCATCATGAGCAGAATCAGCATCAGCCGAATCATCATCAGCAGCATCGGCAGCATCATGAGCAGAATCATCATCGGCAAAATCATCATCAGCAGCATCATCATCATCAGCAACAGCAGCAGCATCAGCATCATCATCATCGGCAGAATCAGCATCAGCAGAATCATGATCATCATCATCGGCAGCATCATGAGCATCGTCATCATCAGCAGCATCATCAGCAGAATCAGCATTAGCAAAATCATCATCATCAGCAGCAGCAGCAGCATCATCATCATCAGCAGAATCTACATCAGCAGAATTATCAGCATCATGATCATCCGCAGCATCATGAGCAGAATCATCATCGGCAAAATCATCATCATCAGCAGCATCATCATCAGCAGCAGCATCATCAGCAGCAGCATCATCATCAGCAGCAGCAGCTGCATCATCAGCAGAATCAGCATCAGCAGAATCATCATCAGCAGCAGCATCATCATAAGAAGCATCAGCAGCAAAATCATCATCATCAGCAGCATCATCATCAGAAGCATCAGCAGCAAAATCATCATCATCAGCAGCATCATAATCAGAAGCATCAGCATCATCACCATCATCAGTAGCAGCATCATCATCATAAGCATCAGCATCATCATCACCAGCAGCATCATCAGCAGCATCATCAGCAGCATCATCATCATCAGCAGCAGAATCAGCATCAGCAGAATCATCATCATCATCATCGGCAGCATCATGAGCAGAATCAGCATCAGCCGAATCATCATCAGCAGCATCGGCAGCATCATGAGCAGAATCATCATCGGCAAAATCATCATCAGCAGCATCATCATCATCAGCAACAGCAGCAGCATCAGCATCATCATCATCGGCAGAATCAGCATCAGCAGAATCATGATCATCATCATCGGCAGCATCATGAGCATCGTCATCATCAGCAGCATCATCAGCAGAATCAGCATTAGCAAAATCATCATCATCAGCAGCAGCAGCAGCATCATCATCATCAGCAGAATCTACATCAGCAGAATTATCAGCATCATGATCATCCGCAGCATCATGAGCAGAATCATCATCGGCAAAATCATCATCATCAGCAGCATCATCATCAGCAGCAGCATCATCAGCAGCAGCATCATCATCAGCAGCAGCAGCTGCATCATCAGCAGAATCAGCATCAGCAGAATCATCATCAGCAGCAGCATCATCATAAGAAGCATCAGCAGCAAAATCATCATCATCAGCAGCATCATCATCAGAAGCATCAGCAGCAAAATCATCATCATCAGCAGCATCATAATCAGAAGCATCAGCATCATCACCATCATCAGTAGCAGCATCATCATCATAAGCATCAGCATCATCATCACCAGCAGCATCATCAGCAGCATCATCAGCAGCATCATCATCATCAGCAGCAGAATCAGCATCAGCAGAATCATCATCATCATCATCGGCAGCATCATGAGCAGAATCATCAGCAAAATCATCAGCAGCAGCATCATCAGCAGCAGCTTCAGCAGCAGCATCATCAGCAGCAGCAGCATCAGCAACAGCAGCATCATCAGCAACAGCAGCATCAGCAGCATAATCATCAACATCAGCAGCATCATCAGCAGCAAAATCATCAGCAGCAGCATCATCAGCAGCATCATCATCATCACTATCAGCAGCAGCATCAGCAGCAGCATCATCATCACCAGCAGCAGCATCATCAGCATCATCATCATCAGCAGCATCAGCAGCATCAGCAGCAGCAGCAGCAGCATCATCATCATCAGCAGCATCATCAGCAGAATCGGCATCAGCAGAATCATCAGCATCATCATCATCGGCAGCATCATGAGCAGAATCATCATCGGCAGAATCATCATCATCATCATCAGCAGCATCATCATCAGCAGCAACAACAGCAGCAGCATCATCAGCAGCAGCATCATCATCATCATCGGAAGAATCAGCATCAGCAGAATCATGAGCATCATCATCATCGGCAGCATCATGAGCAGAATCATCATCAGCAGCATCATCAGCATCATCATCATCAGCAGCATCATCAGCATCATCATCATCATCATCATCGGCAGCATCATGAGCAGCATCATCATCAGTAGCATCATCGGCATCATCATGAGCAGCATCATGAGCAGCAGCATCATCATCAGCAGCATCATCATCAGCATCATCAGCATCATCATCAGCATCGTCATCATCATCGGCATCATCATGAGCAGCATCATGAGCAGCATCATCATCATCAGCATCATCATCATCAGCATCAACATCATCGGCATCATCATGAGCAGCATCATGAGCAGCAGCATCATCATCAGCAGCATCATCAGCATCATTATCAGCATCATCATCATCATCGGCATCATCATGAGCAGCATCATGAGCAGCAGCATCATCATCATCAGCATCATCATCAGCATCATCATCATCATCGGCAGCATCATGAGCAGCATCATGAGCAGCATCAACAGCAGCATAATCATCATCAGCATCATCAGCATCATCATCGGCAGCATCATGAGCAGCATCATCATGATCATCATCATCAGCAGCAGCATCAGCATCATCATCAGCATCATGAGCATCATCATCATCAGCATCATCATCAGCATCATCATCAGCATCATCATCAGCATCATCATCAGCATCATCATCAGCATCATCATCAGCATCATCATCTCCCCCCCTCCCCCGTGTGTCCCGGGTGAGCGAGCAGGAATGGTCGGAGCAGGCGGCCCGTCTGGACGCCGCCTCCCGTGTTGGCTTGCCCGTCTCTTTCGCCCTCTTCAACCTCCACTATTGGCTGCTGTTCTACGTGGCCCTGCAGCGTTGACGATTTCGCTGGACAGGGGCGGGCGGTGTCTCCCTCCCTCTCTCCCTCCCTCTCTCCCTCTCTGTGTCCCGGGCCTCCCCTCCCCACTCCCCCTAGGTCGACTCGGCCTCACACGAGTCACCCGGTGCGGTGTGTCGGTAAAAATCGCAAAAAGGGGGAGACAAAGGCGGCCGGGCGTGGTGCCGCTGGACACCCACCAAACCTCTGTGTGTGCCACAGTGCCGGTAGCCTTCATAGACGCTGCTGCTGCTGCTGCTACTAACAGCACTTGCCGCTACAGTCTGTTAGAGGCTACACGGGGGACCTTTGTCTGTGTCTACCTTCATAGACGCTGCTGCTGCTACTCGCTACTCACAGCACTTGCCCCTACAGCCTGCTAGAGGCTACCCGGGCGACCTTTGTCTGTGTCTACCTTCATAGGTGCTCGCTAACAGCACTTGCCCCTACAGTCTGCTAGAGGCTACACGGGGGACCTTTGTCTGTGTCTACCTTCATAGGTGCTGCTCGCTAACAGCACTTGCCCCTGCAGTCTGTTAGAGGCTACACGGGGGACCTTTGTCTGTGTCTACCTTCATAGACGCTGCTACTCGCTACTAACAGCACTTGCCTCTGCAGTCTGTTAGAGGCTACACGGGGGACCTTTGTCTGTGTCTACCTTCCTAGACGCTGCTGCTGCTACTCGCTACTAACAGCACTTGCCCCTGCAGCTTGCTAGAGGCTACACGGGGGACTTTTGTCTGTGTCTACCTTCATAGACGCTGCTGCTGCTACTCGCTACTAACAGCACTTGCCCCTACAGCCTGCTAGAGGCTACACGGGGGACCTTTGTCTGTGTCTACCTTCATAGGTGCTGCTGCTACTCGCTACTCACAGCACTTGCCCCTGCAGTCTGTTAGAGGCTACACGGGGGACCTTTGTCTGTGTCTACCTTCATAGGTGCTCGCTAACAGCACTTGCCCCTACAGTCTGCTAGAGGCTACACGGGGGACCTTTGTCTGTGTCTACCTTCATAGACGCTGCTGCTGCTACTCGCTACTCACAGCACTTGCCCCTACAGCCTGCTAGAGGCTACACGGGGGACCTTTGTCTGTGTCTACCTTAATAGATGCTCGCTAACAGCACTTGCCCCTTCAGTCTGTTAGAGGCTACACGGGGGACCTTTGTCTGTATCTACCTTAATAGGTGCTCGCTAACAGCACTTGCCCCTGCAGTCTGTTAGAGGCTACACGGGGGACCTTTGTCTGTGTCTACCTTAATAGGTGCTCGCTAACAGCACTTGCCCCTACAGCCTGCTAGAGGCTACACGGGGGACCTTTGTCTGTGTTTACCTTCGTAGACGCTGCTGCTGCTACTCGCTACTCACAGCACTTGCTCCTACAGCCTCCTAGAGGCTACACGGGGGACCTTTGTCTGTGTCTACCTTCATAGACGCTGCTCGCTAACAGCACTTGCCCCTACAGCCTGCTAGAGGCTACACGGGGGACCTTTGTCTGTGTCTACCTTCATAGAAACTGCTGGTGTACAGGGTCCCGTTCACCGCCAGATCGGCCTACAAACTAAAACCGAGATTTTTGGGTTCTTTGTACCACAAATGACGGTGGCTTTTGTGTCAAAGTGCTCATCGTAGGTACCCGTGTGTGGCCCACGCAGATCGTGATTCCTCGCGAAAATGTTTCCGTTTGGTGTGTGAACATCCAAACGTAACTTGTGCTTCATTATGAGACCTCCTTTGCCAGAAACAAGATATAGTAATAGGTTTTACCCTTTTAACTGGCACAAAAACTGACACCTTTATTCAAGGCATCATGTTTGCAATAACCACAACACAAGCAGTCAAAATGCACGCAGGGTGTAAAACATCTTTCCGTATTTTGACGATTTCGTGTGTCCGTGTGGGAATGTTCCACGCACATTCTTAGCAGTAGCAGGTGGGAAACACCCCAGTTGGGTTGAATTGTGAGTGCAGGATTGTGTGTGTGTGTGTTGTTAGGATGTTGGGAGGATTGTGTATGTGTGTGTGTGTTGTTAGGATGTTTGGAGGATTGTGTATGTGTGTGTGTTGTTAGGCTGTTGGGGGGATTGTTTGTGTGTGTTGTTAGGCTGTTAGGGGATTGTGTGTGTGTGTGTTGTCAGGCTGTTTGGAGGATTGTGTATGTGTGTGTGTTGTTAGGCTGTTTGGAGGATTGTGTATGTGTGTGTGTTGTTAGGCTGTTGGGGGATTGTGTGTGTATGTGTGTTGTTAGGCTGTTAGGGGATTGTGTGTGTGTGTGTGTTGTCAGGCTGTTAGGGGATTGTGTGTGTGGGTGTTGTCAGGCTGTTGGGGGATTGTGTGTGTGTTGTCAGGCTGTTGGGGGATTGTGTGTGTGTGTGTTGTCAGGCTGTTGGGGGTTGTGTGTGTGTGTTGTCAGGCTGTTAGGGGATTGTGTGTGTGTGTTGTCAGGCTGTTAGGGGTTGTGTGTGTGTGTTGTTAGGCTGTTAGGGGGTTGTGTGTGTGTGTTGTCAGGCTGTTAGGGGTTGTGTGTGTGTGTTGTCAGGCTGTTAGGGGTTGTGTGTGTGTTGTCAGGCTGTTGGGGGATTGTGTGTGTGTGTGTTGTCAGGCTGTAGGGGGTTGTGTGTGTTGTCAGGCTGTTAGGGGTTTTGTGTGTGTGTGTGTTGTCAGACTGTAGGGGGATTGTGTGTGTGTGTGTTGTCAGGCTGTTGGGGGGTTGTGTGTGTGTTGTCAGGCTGTTAGGGGGTTGTGTATGTGTGTGTGTTGTCAGGCTGTTAGGGGTTGTGTGTGTGTGTGATGTCAGACTGTAGGGGGATTGTGTGTGTGTGTGTGTGTTGTCAGGCTGTTGGGGGATTGTGTGTGTGTGTTGTCAGGCTGTTAGGGGGATTGTGTGTGTGTGTGTGTTGTTAGGCTGTTAGGGGGACTGTGTGTGTGTTGTCAGGCTGTTAGGGGACTGTGTGTGTGTGTGTTGTCAGGCTGTTGGGGGGATTGTTTGTGTGTGTTGTCAGGCTGTTGGGGGGAGTGTGTGTGTGTGTGTTGTCAGGCTGTTAGGGGACTGTGTGTGTGTGTTGTCAGGCTGTTGGGGGGAGTGTGTGTGTGTGTGTTGTCAGGATGTTGGGGGGAGTGTGTGTGTGTGTTGTTAGGCTGTTGGGGGGATTGTGTGTGTGTGTGTTGTTAGGCTGTTGGGACGATTGTGTGTGTGTGTGTTGTTAGGCTGTTGGGGGATTGTGTGTGTGTGTTGTCAGGCTGTTAGGGGGGTTGTGTGTCTGTGAGTTGTCAGGCTGTTAGGGGGGTTGTGTGTGTGTTGTCAGGCTGTTAGGGGGGGTTGTGTGTGTGTTGTCAGGCTGTTAGGGGACTGTGTGTGTGTGTTGTCAGGCTGTTAGGGGACTGTGTGTGTTGTCAGGCTGTAGGGGGTTGTGTGTGTGTGTGTGTTGTCAGGCTGTAGGGGGTTGTGTGTGTGTGTGTGTTGTCAGGCTGTTGGGGGGGAGTGTGTGTGTGTGTTGTCAGGCTGTTGGGGGATTGTGTGTGTGTGTGTGTTGTCAGGCTGTTGGGGGATTGTGTGTGTGTGTGTTGTCAGGCTGTTAGGGGGTTGTGTGTGTTGTCAGGCTGTTGGGAGGATTGTGTATGTGTTATCAGGCTGTTGGGGAACTGTGTGTGTGTGTTGTCAGGCTGTTAGGGGTTGTGTGTGTGTGTTGTTAGGCTGTTAGGGGGTTGTGTGTGTGTGTTGTCAGGCTGTTAGGGGTTGTGTGTGTGTGTGTTGTCAGGCTGTTAGGGGTTGTGTGTGTGTGTTGTCAGGCTGTTAGGGGTTGTGTGTGTGTGTGTTGTCAGGCTGTTAGGGGGTTGTGTGTGTGTGTTGTCAGGCTGTTAGGGGTTGTGTGTGTGTGTGTGTGTTGTCAGGCTGTTGGGGGATTGTGTGTGTGTGTTGTCAGGCTGTAGGGGGTTGTGTGTGTGTTGTCAGGCTGTTAGGGGTTGTGTGTGTGTTGTCAGACTGTAGGGGGATTGTGTGTGTGTGTTGTCAGGCTGTTGGGGGCTTGTGTGTGTGTTGTCAGGCTGTTGGGGGGAGTGTGTGTGTGTTGTTAGGCTGTTGGGGGGATTGTGTGCGTGTGTGTTGTCAGGCTGTTAGGGGGTTGTGTGTCTGTGCGTTGTCAGGCTGTTAGGGGGGTTGTGTGTGTGTTGTCAGGCTGTTAGGGGGGGTTGTGTGTGTGTTGTCAGGCTGTTAGGGGACTGTGTGTGTGTGTTGTCAGGCTGTTAGGGGACTGTGTGTGTTGTCAGGCTGTAGGGGGTTGTGTGTGTGTGTGTGTGTTGTCAGGCTGTAGGGGGTTGTGTGTGTGTGTGTTGTCAGGCTGTTGGGGGGGAGTGTGTGTGTTGTCAGGCTGTTGGGGGATTGTGTGTGTGTGTGTGTTGTCAGGCTGTTGGGGGATTGTGTGTGTGTGTGTGTTGTCAGGCTGTTAGGGGGTTGTGTGTGTTGTCAGGCTGTTGGGAGGATTGTGTATGTGTTATCAGGCTGTTGGGGGACTGTGTGTGTGTGTTGTCAGGCTGTTAGGGGTTGTGTGTGTGTGTTGTTAGGCTGTTAGGGGGTTGTGTGTGTGTGTTGTCAGGCTGTTAGGGGTTGTGTGTGTGTGTGTTGTCAGGCTGTTAGGGGTTGTGTGTGTGTGTGTTGTCAGGCTGTTAGGGGTTGTGTGTGTGTGTGTTGTCAGGCTGTTGGGGGATTGTGTGTGTGTGTTGTCAGGCTGTAGGGGGTTGTGTGTGTGTTGTCAGGCTGTTAGGGGTTGTGTGTGTGTGTTGTCAGACTGTAGGGGGATTGTGTGTGTGTGTTGTCAGGCTGTTGGGGGGAGTGTGTGTGTGTGTTGTCAGGCTGTTAGGGGACTGTGTGTGTGTGTTGTCAGGCTGTTGGGGGGAGTGTGTGTGTGTGTGTTGTCAGGCTGTTGGGGGGAGTGTGTGTGTGTTGTTAGGCTGTTGGGGGGATTGTGTGTGTGTGTTGTTAGGCTGTTGGGACGATTGTGTGCGTGTGTGTTGTTAGGCTGTTGGGGGATTGTGTATGTGTGTGTTGTCAGGCTGTTATGGGGGTTGTTTGTGTGTTGTCAGGCCGTTAGGGGACTGTGTGTGTGTGTTGTCAGGCTGTTAGGG